TTTACAATGTTGTGCCAATTTTTGGTGTACAGCACAATGCTTGTCATACATGGTTATACATATATTAATTTTCATATTCTTTTTCACCATAAGCTACTACAAGATATTGAATATACTTCCCTGTGCTATACAGTATAAACTTGTTTATCTATTTTACATATACCAGTCAGTATCTACAATCTCGAACTCCCCAAATACTGTATTTCTCAGTTCCACTTCCTGTGTTTTATAGTCTCCTGTTCATTACGAACACAATGTGATTTCCTGAGATTCTGTATTTGTTCATTCATTACATACCTATATTCCTTTACTTCCTTGAATATTGCTATAATAGATGCTTTAAAATCCTTACGAACTAAATTCAACATCTGGATCATCTCAGGGTCAGTCTTTAATAATTGTCTTCTCTCTTGAGCATGTCTAGAAACTCTGGATTATATCCTGGCCATTGTAAATAATGTTTTAGAAACTCTGGATTCTATTACATTCCTCTAAAGAGTACTGACTATTTTAATAGGCAATTAACATGACGGGACTCACACTCCAAACTCTGTTTTCCTTTCGGAGGAGTGAAAACTAAAACATCTGTTCAGCAGGCTGCCTAGAATCTGTCCGTATACAAGATTTAAACAGTTTATATCCCTCTCTGGATATCTCTTTTTCTACATTTTCTTCCTCATTTTCCAGTTAGTACAAATGCCCTAAAATTTGTCATCTAGTTCTCCTAGCCAGTAAGACTGGGAGTCTCAACCTGAATTTTGGCTACCCTTCACAGTACCAACTTGGGCATGACCTCAAGTTAAATGCCGTAAAGAAATGGCAATTCACGAAGTGACAACTCCTTCTAAAAATAGATAACCTTTACTCTCTAGTTTCTGTCTGCTTTTGGTTGCTAAGTTTTTAGATAGTTTTTTTTTTCAAACTGAGTTTACAGTTGATATCTGCCAGAGAGTTAGTTTAATAAGAGCTATAACCAGATCAGCTATAACCAAAGCAGAACTCTGCATATTATTTTAGAAAACTAGGCAATTACCTCGCTAATGTCAATGGAGACAAACAAAAAGTAAGTCAATAAAAGATAAATGGATTTTATAATGATTTAAAGTAAATGTGGCCATGGCACTTAAGAATAGTAATTAGAATGCAGGCTGGCAAGGTGTTTGATAATAGAGTATCTTAGGACTTTGGGATTAAAAGCATTCATTTGTCTCTCACATTTCTGAAAACTTTCTAATGATTGTAAGCTAAAACCACAGAGACACAGAAATCATAAAAGGAGATGACAGCAACAAAGTTTTGGAAGATTGAAAGCCAAATGATAAGCAATAATATACTTAGCAGAATGAAGAAAGGTGAAATAAGGCCTAGGTGTAAACTGGAGGGGAACTTATTTGAAAAAAAAAGCTAATATGTGCATCAGATCCCCCAAAAGGTACAGTCGTCAGAGATTCCAGGTAGTTCTGAAAGTTAGGGTGCAGGAGGGTCAAATTCAATATAAGCTGTATGGCCCTTAAATCCTCTCCCCACCCCCCACAACCATGTAACAAGCCCCTTCCCAACCCACAGGAAGTGTAGGTTTTCTTTGTAGAGATAGTGAACCACAGAGACACTACACTCAGGGAAACAGCACACAGTGGAGGAGGAGCTTGAATTAAAAATGAGAAGCAAAAGTCTACATGTCAAAATATTAAGATCTACCTCCTACCACCTATCACAGCAGAACACCTATTTGCAGGTGACTGGAGGATTCTAGCCCAAAAGAAAAGACTAACATTAGTAGGTTAGGGTGCCCTGGCACTGCCCCCAGTCAGTTCATTAAAAAAAGTTCTGCCTCTACACATGAAACTTCCATTTAGCTTTCTGGTCCATCACTCTCACCATGAAGGGACAGAACATTTGGAGAAAGCCACTAAAAATTAAATTAATGTCTTAAGCATTTATTACATTGTCAAGGTCTGATGCACAGTTTTTAAGAGCTTAAAAAAAAAAGAGAGTAGAAATGAGACCAACACTACTTCAGTGAAATTAGAACCAGGAAAAAAACTGTTCTGAAGACAACTCAGAGCTTCAGATTGCTCCAAACAACTTCAATAATGGTCGCTACAATTTACAAAAGAACTAAAAGCATCTGGTCTGAATGCCTCAGTTTGCCCAGGAAAATTTAAACGGAATGTGATAAAGGGCTTCTAAGCATTTCAGAAGGTCAACTGGCCATAATTATCAAGGTCATCTTATGTGACATTATTAGTATCAGGAAAAACAGCAGTAACATTTAACTAAAAGGAAATTGACCGGTAAAAGCATTAAAAATTAACCGACAGTCTGAGTAGTCAGTTATACTCTGAATATTTCGGAAAAAAAATCTACAAACTTCCCCTGGAAAGAATAATGATCAAACATCATTAGCAACAGCCACATTTACTATTCTTAAACTAGATTTACAACTTATATCAATATTAAACAAGGCATTCTATCTCTAAAAGATCAGTCTTCCTACCTTTCCCCACCTCTTTCTTATTCTATGGGATCATTTCCCTCCGTCCGCCTGTGCCTTAGGTCTACCAATGACAGCTACCAGCACTCACTGCCTTGCAATTAGTAACCTGAGGGTAGGGGAGGGAGGCTAAACATGTCCTTACGCTTTGGGTTATTTCCTATTTTCCAAAACTTTCCAAGCCAGCTGCAAAGATCGATTAAGGTGTAATGATGAACTTAAGAAGTAGAACCCATTGCAAGATTTATAGCATATGGAGAAAGACAGAAATATAAAAAGTATCTCCAAAATGTTATAGATGGTCTAACATCAAATGCTGAGGAAGAAAGCCCAGGGGAAGAAGCAAAGTCCAAGAGGTCAGGATAAATGAAGAGAGTGAAAGGAAGAAACTGTTGGAAGAAAGGAAGGAAAGAACTGAGGATGTTAAGCAATGTAAGATAAGCGACTACCCGAGATCACAGAGGCGGCTAGAGAGGATTGATAAGAGCACATGAAGGGTCAAGTCTTAGAAAAAAGTGTGTCTTACAAAGAATGATGCCTATGAAAGGACTATGCCTTTCCAATATAAGAGAGAGAGAAGAAGGTATACAGATATCACTAACTTTAAGTTCCTTATATTCACAGTGAACACATACGTATGTGCACTTGGTCTGTCTCTCTCTCATAAAATCACCACATCCAGCCTCCACACATGCTTTTTCCAGAACCTGTAAAACTGTTCCCCTTCCTCTGTGCCTGGTTAAGGGCCATTTAAGATTCCATCTCTGCTCAATCTTCTGGAATCTTCACTCAGCACAGCAGACCTCTCCTTCACAATGCTTGTCGGACTTGATTAACACTTTGTGTTCCCCACCAGATTGTAAATTCCATAAGAGCAGGGGCCAGCTCTGTTTTAAACTTCCATATTACTCTCCAGAACCTGGTACAGTGAATGACACATAGTAGACTCCGAGAAATATTGATTACATGAGTGAAGCAATACAGAGAAAAAGAAAAAACATAGAGTCTCTGTTTTCTATGAATGACAATTACAACAAAGTCACAAAAAAAGCAAAAGCTATGTCTCATTAAGTTACTAAAAATAAAAACTGTCTCAGAAGGATATCCTATATGATTGTTAATTAGCCATGTTAATTATCACAAGAGAAGAGCTACAAGTAACAGGCACTTCATCGTAATTTCTTAATGAAGTTGCATATGGTACTCAAAGTGAGTTACACACAAATGCTAAGCCAGGAGTTGTATATGGTAAAACAGGAGGCATTATAGTGTAGTTTAAGCATAACAGCTTACCCTAGATCAGGTATCCAGAGATTTTTACTCCCTGACAGGCAGGGTCAATACCCCTACTCAGCCCTGAAGCAGCTGCAGAAGATGGACTGTTGAACTTCTGTCTCCCATAAGATTGTGGGAATAAAATCTCTGAAGGGAATGAGACAGGAGGGAAGGGGGCAGGGTACAAGCATTACAAGAATGCCACAGCTCTTGAGGATATGATATAAACTGGTTAGAACCAACTTGGCCCAAGATGGCTAAAGATTTGACTTCCAGTAGACCTTGAGCCTCATTATACACTCACTGGAATACATCAGCTTGCTAAATGACACACCTACAGGTGCCATGACAGTTCCCAGGCTGACCATAAAAGGCAAAAAAGTAAGCTGGGCCAAATTCCTGGAAATCCCCACTCCTTCCCCAAATAGCTGGAATAAGCCTCCCTCTTGTTAGCATATGCAGTTACCCAGCCGATAAAAACTAAGCCCCCCACACAC